GTAAAAAAGTTAGTATGACTAGCAGTAGTAATTTACTAATAAAATAAAAAAGTACAGTCGATTGAATAAGATTAAATTTAATAGGCAGAATAACTTATTAATTCATTTCCTAGCAGCCTTTTGGGTTTTCAACGTTTATCAGATTTTATTTTGGAATTGATCTTTTGACCACTTAACTGCATGATATAAAACTGCATTATTTAGATACCAAGAACAACTTTTTAAAATCAGTGTTCCGAATTTGTTAACAGTAAAACTAGGAAACAACTCTGAATATAATTGTATAAAAGACCGATAAAGTCCAGACAATAGCTGCAATAGAAGATAATTTTCTTAATGGTGCTGCATTGACTGTACAGTTATCACCCTCACAGCCAACTACACAGACTTCGAGCATCGGAGAATCACCGAGTACACGTTCCTTTGCTCGTTCAGCTCCAATCAGATGTCGGGTCTAAAATTAACTACCTTTTTCTAATTTTTGGTTAATTTTTTGATACTGCTTTCATTTTAGTAGCTTCAAGAGGTTTTAATAGTATCCTTTTGTAATTGTTATGCTTAGATAACAGTTTCCACTAGATATATATCCTCATCTTTAATTGGATTTTAGAAGTTCGATATCGTAATTCACAAAGCATTCGCTTGGTAACTTAAGAAAAATCACGTAAAGCAATTACTTGAGTTATGTGATCAAATTAATGAGATTATACAGTACAATCACCTTTCGAATATAGTTGTAGTACGTTGAACAACCGCTGATGTCGCTCAATCTTCCGCAACGTCGTTCTCGAATTGTTTTTTCTGCAAAAAAATTTTTTTGCGTAATTTTTTTTTTTTCTTTTATAGAAAGTTATATTTTGTTCTGTTTCAGAACATCGCTTTGACACTGAACTTGGCTAAGGAAACAAAAGAAAGACTAGTTTAACAGCATTTTTAAAAAAAAAGATACTGTATTTACTAATGATAGGCAGATATTTGGCAATAACATCAGTTTTGGCTGCACAAATAAAACAGTTGATTCAGGTAGTGTGTCAAAATTTCAAAATTTTTTATCTTGCATTTTTCTGTCTTTATTTTTCAGCCAGATATCAAAGTTGTTTATGTGAAAATTTTTGGATGAGTTGTAAAAATTTTTACTGATGAATAATTCCTGAACGTTTTTGATGATTGAACTAGCCAATTCTTACGTATGTATTTAGGTATTTGCAAGCATCGCTGATGCAGCTGCAATCATAAATATGCTAATTGCTTGTTATTTTGAAATTATAACCATAAGAAACTTCTCAAAAGTTTTGATCAATTTAAATTATTTTATTGTCAAAAAAATAAAAAAAAAAAAATCCAAGTTTCAACCAAATCTTCTTTTCAAAGAGTTTGTTTGGACTTCCTCTTCTACTCGTGTCTTTCTCCACTCATAAATCTGCTGGTATTTGCAGTAAAGAAACAGCAAATATTTTTCCGAAAAATAGAGATTTTATTTGTATCAAAAATTAGAATATATGGCACAAAATTTGCTTTTTGCAATGAAAAAATTGTTACTTGAAAAAATTTTTGGTTCTCGCTAAAATTTGTTTTCAGTTGTTGTTGGTTAGTGGTGTTGTTGTTGCTGTTGTTGACGGCCTCGCAAGTCTACGGGTAATTTTAAAAATATTGCAGCAACAGCAAGCGAAAAATAAGGAAAGCATAATTTTCTGTGCAATCTTTCGCTTGGATTCAAAAATCGAATTTTCAATAAAGGGCATTCATTGTGCATTGTTCGGCTTCACAGAATAGCATTTTTAGTTTATTGCAACAAATTTCGTGGTAGTTGTCGCTGTTGTTGTACTTTTTTCCCCTTAGTTAATATTTCGCTGCTTAATGCAGCAATAGCAGAAAAGCTCCAATGATTACTTCTTGGAATACTACTTAGATTTGTATAGATGAAATGCAAAAGAATCACTGGATTTTAGCTTTACATCTAGTCGATAGACATTGGTTGACCAACGAGCAAGCAGTCTTTTCTTTACAGGATTAAGTTATAATTTTGATTTAACCAAAAGAAAGCACTTTTCTGAATTGTAAAACTGTATGATTCTACAAGGAAATGCTGTAAGTTTTTATTTCTTGAATTATCAGAAAGCAATTTTTGTTTATAATAGCTCTATTTGTTTCGAATGTTTTCAAAGACAATCTGTCTAAATAAAAATACTGAAACAGCAGACAACAAAAGCAAACGATGGCTATTAACTTCAAATCATCAACTTCTGCTCTTTTGAAAATAAGTTTGAAATATTTGCGCTAGAATCAACCAGTTGAAGAAAAATTACTTTCAAAAATTTTATCAATCTGTGGTACTATCGAAAGGCAGAGGTGTAAAATAAAAGAAAAAAACAAACTGGAAATCAATTGTGCCAAAGTGATATTGAAAAGTTTGTAAAAAATGCTTCAGAAATACGAAAAACTCTTCTTTGAAAATCACAACATGTCTGACACATTGTTTAATAAACCAGATAAATGACATGGAACTAGAGATTAGTCAGTGCATAAAGATTGTCTCGAAACTCACCAGTAAAACAAGAATTTTTTTTCAGGCTAATTTTTAGTAAGGTAATTTGCCGATGTAAATTAGTTCAAAAAAATTTTTTTATACTTATCAGATGTGCTCGCTAACCGTTGGAATGTCTTTTCTGGCTCAATCAAGAAGAGCAACTGATATTCCTTAAGGAGTACCAACATGGTAACAAGACAATATATTTTGGAAAATATTAGGTTTCCTAAATCCTCGTCGTTTGAATTACCTTGAGTTTTGTCTAGGCTGTGTCTAATTATTCTACAGAACTGACTTTAAATTCTGTGAATTAATCACCACATAATAATCAGATTTGTTTACTTCAATCAATTATTCGATTAAGCAACTATCAGTAAGGAGGCTTAACCGATACTGAACTTAATTTACTAACTGAAATAATGTGGTATTAGAATAAATAATGCAACTGTATACATAAGCAGTTGGTTTATAATTGTGTTTTTGATGTTTCGCCTTTTTTTTTTTTTTTTTTTTTTTTTTTTTTTTT